TAATGAGTTTACAACCGTACATTCATGACCATTTATGTTTATGAGAGTTGTTTAGGGTCCTAAAAGTCATAATGAAGCATCCAAACTTCAAGTCTAGGCCTTAGGAAGTGTTTGTGGCATCAAAACACCCTTAAATTGAGTTTTCGGCCCATGGACCACTTTGACATGTGTTTGCGGCCGTAATCACCTATGGGTGATGGTATTTTGATTGTTTTGAGTTATAAACACATCAAGGTAAGGTGCTAGGCTAGTTTCTAGGTTTAAGGAAGGAATTTGGGGCATCTTTGCACCATAAAAGGGAGTTTACGGCCCAAGAACATCCTTGGCCGTAAAATCTCTTATAAACTTTGTTTCTTGATGTTTCTAAGGTCTAGAAATGTTTAATCTAGTGTACAACAACTTAGAAGAAGCATTCTTACGATATAGGAGCTTGAACTAGTCGATTTGGCCAAGAACACTAGTATGTGTTCTTGGCGTTCTTGGTGTTTCTTGAGTATCTAAACAAACATGATTTTCATGGATGGAATCAATGTAAGAAGCTAGTTAATAAGATGTATTAACTAATCAAGGGATAGAATACTCACTCCTTTGAAGATCTAAGGAAAGAGGTTGGATGATAGTTGAGAGGATTTGCGAGAAAATCCGGCCAAGAAAGGAAGAAATGAGAAGAAATGACCCAATGCCCTATATTTACTCTTGAGTTTACGGCCACATGAGTTTACGGTCATAAACTCATGGTCTTGTGGCCGTGAACTCATTTAGATGGGGTTAGGATTTGATTTATTACATTATGATTCTAGCGGGTACTTTCTAACACTTATTCCTTAAGTGTATTAGGCTCAAAACTCCTTAGAATGACCTGTAACTAGGCTAGAACTCTATACTAATGATTCTGACACTCAGTTGAGTTGACTGACTGAGCTTATAAAATAATTTTTTTTGGCTTGTCACAGGTTTTATGAAAATTTTTTTGATATTCAATAACTTGAGGAAAAGTTATGGACTTCATTAAAACATTTACGATAAGACTTTTCATGTTCCATAACTTGAGGACAAGGTATGGAACTCATAAAAGAACATTTAAATCAATTCGAACAAGGAAAATTTATCATATAATATTCTATTGATCTAATCTAACTCATATAGCAAGTCAATTCATATCAAATAATACAAATATTTAACCTATTATCTTAATAATTGACAATTGTCCTTTCATTTCCAAAACTTATGAGGTTAATGTCATTGTAATGGATGGGATTTTTCATATTCCATAACTTGAAGACAAGTTATGTAAGTCATTAAAATCATTTAGATCAATTTCAACAAATAAATTAATCAAATAATTTATGTTTGATTTAACTAAACTCATAAACAAGATAATATCAAGTCAACAATTTGCAAGCAAGTTTGTTTATCATATAAATCAACAATTTTATTAAAACTTTGACAATTATATTATTATTGGATGATCATAATCACTACCATATCAAAAAAAAAAAAAAAAAAAACACAAAACACAAAACAGACTTAAAGATGTAAAATAGTTTGTAATAGTGATTCCAATCCAATCTAGGCCTAGAAAACTCAAAATTCTGCACCCAGAGGCAGGGACTCGACGAGTGTATGAAATGTGCACACGCAACCCTAAATGTTTGGATCTATGTTTTCTCTAATTATACATGCATTTTCAATTTTTCCAAAGCATTCTACCTAACTAGCATACAATTGTCAAACGAACAATATAATTAGTTAGATGACATACCTCTTAGAAGGACTAGTAGTTCTTGACATTTGAAGCTTGAGCACCCCAAGTTTGATGCCTCTAATTGTTCATGAGGGTTCTATTTATAGTGTGGAAAATGCTAGGGTTACATTTTGTAAACCCTAATGCTACATGACTTTTCATATTATTATGCTCCATGGATTTAACCTCCATGGACTATCTTATTGGTTAGGCCATCTATATAATCATGGACCATTGGCCCATACTATAAGAATCATTGATTTACATAATCAATACTTATATATTTAATTAGTCTCTTTTGACCACAAAATCAATTCCAAATTAACTCTTGATCAATACTAATTAAGTAATATGATTTCATATTAATATATTATACTTGTAATATATTAATAAATCATAATTAACCTTATTCTCAAAAGTCCATCCTATCAAATTTCACTGGCGAAGGCAACCCAAAAGGACCATGCTATAATCGGATCAAGTACATCCCATTTATATTTATGGGCTTGGACACCAAATCCAATAGTTTTGACCATAGATTTTGGAACTAGACAAGATAACTACTTTGTATTTATATTAGTGATTATGTAAATAGTTTTAACAAACAAACATAATCAACTATAATTGGTAATATTTGGGAGTCACATTCACTACAATATCATTTCATAAGTAAAATATATTTATTTAAAGGTATTAATTATTTTTACACTATGTAACCACTACAGAAGAGTAATACTCTCATTTACAAAAAAATGATTTTCCGTACGCTACTCATAAACTGGTTAATACAGACTTGTGTGACATTTGGCTTCACCGTACCTACTAGAGTACACACTAAAGTCCTGAATTATAACCAGAGTCTCTTGTAGGGATAGCGTGATACTTGTGTATAGATTTACACGAGATTGACAACCCCGCACCTCGGCTATTAGCTATAGTTAGACCGGCCAGTCTTGGGTGACAAATGTCGTAACTGTATCGACGCCCGAAGAATGTCGTTCAGGCCACTAGTCGCATTAGTATGATTATAGTAACTTACATGGAGTATTAAAAAAACATTTGTTTTATGGGGCTAACATACATCCAAATAATTTCGTAGAAAAATTCAACATTATTTTTCCAGCACAACACTACTGGCATTTTTAGTCTTGGGTTAAGACATACAGCTCATTTAAAGAAAATATCCGATTTTCTTGAAGCATAGTCTATCTTTTTACAAAGAAAGGTTACAGATTTCTCTGATACAAAACTCTTATGAACTCACCAACTTAATTGTTGACACTTTTCAAAATCACTTGTATTTTAGGAATTCAGTAAATCGGTAACCAAAGTGTTTTTGGAGGATGGGACGTCGTCGCATCACGTTATTTATTTTTGGTCATATGTATATGGTATCAAGTAAACAAGGTTTTCTATAAAATGTGAACATATTATTTATCGGGAAAATGACTTAAAAGACCAATTAAGTTTCAAAAACGTTCATATTACCCAAATTACGTTTTTGTTGTTCAAAAATCACCAATGAAATTATGTTTTTTTTATTATAAAGCCAAATAAAGTTACTAGTAAAATTAACGTTTTTTAATGGTGACCGGCATTTTGCAGGTAAACGATGGGGGTAACTGAGTTGGCATATTTTTGTTGAGTTGGCATATGTGTTGGCATATCTACGTGGCATTTGTGTTAGATAGATATAGGGCATAATGGGGTAATGTGGCTTCTTCGATCGACTTCTTCAATTGACTTCTTCAATCGACATCTTCAACATGGCTTCTTCGTCTCGATCCTCCAACTCATGCTCAAGATAAAAAATTTCCATGTCAAAAAGCACTATTGATAAGGCAAATCCTTGTGATTGTGGGTTTCCTTCTCGCATCTGGATATCAACAACAAAGGCAAATCCTGGTAAAAAATTTAGGGTTTGTCCTAACTCTTTGGTAAGTATATCTAAAAGCTTGTTCTTGTTTGGGTCCCTTTTTGTTTTTCATGCTACAATATTGTTTGTTTATATTATAATTGAAGATGAAGGATCCGAAGGATAAATGTGATTTCTGGGAATGGGTTGATGATGATGAAGAAATTATAACCAAGAACAAGAATAAGAAAGATGAAGAACATGATTTCAATACTGAAGTGAAGATTGCAATATTGGAACATGATTTCAATGATTACAAGATGAAGACTGATAAGGAATGTAAGAGTTTTAGAAAGGAATTAAATAAAATGAAATGTTTCGTGTTGATGTTTGTTGTTTTGTTTGTAGTGAAGTACATGATGTAGTGTTAATGTTATTATGTAATGGAAATGTACTTTGAAATTATCAAGATATGTATCTTCAAAGTAGTTTCATTGTACTCATGTAATATGGTTACGAAGTGGGAATGAAAAGAAGGTGTGTATGAAGACTGATGCACATAAAAGGATTGCACTTTATCAAATGATAATAGCAAGGGCAAAATAGTCCACAAAAGGATTGCACTTTATCAAATGATAATAACAGGGACAAAAATGTCCATAAAAGTTTTTGACATTATGCATGTAATTTGTGTTTTAAATGGTTTTTAAACACAATGGCAGTTTTATTGAAAACACATATAATAGTAACATACTTTTATTTATTGAAAATAGCAAGGGTAAAATAGTCCATAATAAGATTACACTTTATCAAATGATAATAGCATGGGGAAAATAGTCCATAAAAGGATTGCACTTTATCAAATGATAATAACAAGGACAAAAAAGTCCATAAAAGTTTTTGACATTATGCATGTAATTTGTGTTTTAAATGGTTTTTAAACACAATGGCAGTTTTATTGAAAACACACATAATAGTAACATACTTTTATTGATTGAAAATAGCAAGGGCAAAATAGTCCATAATAAGATTACACTTTATCAAATGATAATAGCAGGGGCAAAATAGTCAATAAAACCTGTTTCAAACTATGAAGGTGGCCTACAAAAGGGAATGCCCTAGAAAACAGTTTTTACCAATTTTAACATAGTTTTAACAAATAAGGGCAAAATGGTACACTGTTATAATATGCATAAAAGGTAATAAACTACATATCAAGCATAATTAAACCACATAATCAAACATGTTCACATGGCAGTAAATGTTGGTAAATGTGCACAACACCAAAAGACAAGCCTAAGCATCAAAAAGACAAGCCTAAGCACCAAAAGATGTGCACTAAGCACCAAAAGATGTGTCATTTCAAAGTATTTGACATAATCCTGATAGAACACACTTATCCTAGTTTAAAGTGACTGGATTTTCAAGACATTCCCCACTTCCATCTTTTGTTACCACCTTCTTCCTTAACTTCAGTTTTGTGATCCTCTCAGAAGGTAATCGCCTTTTGTTAGCAACAAAATGCTGAAAAAAAACAGGTTGATGCTGATGGTGATGAACTTCATCAAAATTAGGTTCATGGTGGTCAACAGCCTCTTCATGGTTAGCTTCATCTTGAACAACTTCAATGTGGTGAGCTTCATCTTGAACAACCCCCTCTTGATGATCCTCAATATGATCTTCTTGATGGCCTTCAACATGATTTTCTTGATGGTCAATTTCATCTACTTGATGGTTAATCTCATCATCTTGACGTTCAATTTCATCCTCCTGGTGGTCTTCAATATCACCTTCTTCAACATCCTCTTCTTCACCAATCCCATCTTTACTAACCCCATCTTGACTAACCCCTTCATTGACCCCATCTTCACTAATCCCATCTTGACTAACCCCTTCTTCAACAGCCCCTTCACCAACAGTTGATATACTTGCTGCATTGTTAAAACAAAAATAATTATTATTATACAAATGTAGATGAATGAATAATCAAAATAAAAACCAACCTTCTGTGAGCAATGGACATCGCCTCTTGTTGTGTCCTTCTTGATGACAATTACTACATCTTGAGATGGACATCCCTGTCTTGTTAATTGTATGCCTTCCTTCATTCTTCTCTATAGGACATTTCATTCTGTTTACTTTAGGCCTTCCTAGCATTCTCCTACGCCGAGGTGGTAATATGGGATCAAATAGAACATCAGGACACATGTTATCTCCATTTATTGGTTTGACTGGATACCTATAGCAACTTCCAAACATGCTTGTTTTAAATCATATGGCTACATAGTCCTTTGCATTTCCATTCATGCATAATATAGCAACAATGTCATGAACACAAGGGATACCACTGAGTTTCCAGGCTCTGCAACCACAAGTTTTGCTTTCAAGGTGAACAGCATAAACTTCATGGGCTAATTTCACTTCATATTCTTCCTCGCCACTTGGAATAACATCCCAGTACCTGAAATCATATTAAGAAGGTAAGTTATTTCATATTGAATCACTTACAATTAAATAATATACCTTTGTTCTTCTTTCATCTTCTCAATCCTCTTTCTAATAGAGGGGCAGATTTCCATGTCCCACTTATGCCCCTTAATCTTTTGATTGTACATCCTCTCCATCACGTACAATCTGATTTCTTCCAGCATTGTTATTATTGGTTTCTTCCGTGCCTCTACAATTGTTGCATTGAAAGATTCAGATATACCGTTTTCCACGGCATCACAAGAAGCCTGAGGTTCAAAGAATGCTCTGCACCATGTATTTGGGTCTCTTTCTATCAGGTGCTCATAAGCTTCTGTGGACATTGTACGAATTTCCCTCATGTGTGATCGGAAATTGGAATTGGTTGTAGCCTTTGTAGCCCTCCAAAATAACCTCCTAAACTCAACACCCGTGAACCCCTTCTTCTTAAAGTTGGCATAGATGTGTCGGGCACAATTCCTATGCTCACATGATGGTGCCCTTTCCTTAACAGCCTCCATTAAACCCTACAAGGTGATAACAAATTTTAGTTTTAAAGTACATAATAACACATAATATAGTAAGTAAAATGTAAACTATAACACACCTTGTGTTGGTCTGAAATAATTGTAAGACCCCTACCATCTCCCATCTCAATGTCCTCAAGTAGAAGATCAATGAACCACATCCAAGTTTCCTTGTTTTCAACTGGCACAACAACCCATGCTAGAGGATACATTTGGTTGTTTGCATCCCTACCAACGGCTGTTAACAACTCACCTCTGCAAACACCCTTCAAAAAACAGCCATCAACACCGATAACCCTTCTACATCCTTCAATCCAGCCATCCTTGATAGACTTCAGGCAAATATACATCCTTTTGAAGTATTGTGTAGCATCAGGCGTATGATTTGTCTCGATCAAGACTATTGACCCAGGATTAACCCTCAATAACTCAACACCATAATTCTACAGTTTCTCATAATAGCTTACCAAATTGCTTGAAATCTCATCTAGTGCAAAGTACTTGGCATTTCTACACTGCCCAAGACTTACCTTGATACCATAGTCTTTCCTAACCACTTTTGCCATTTTCCAATAGCTAAACTTAGGCCTTTCCAAAATGTCAGGTATTAACATTTTACCAATCCACTTATACGTAACAAGACAACCCAATTTTTGTTGTCTAGCACAATTATGTTTATCAATTAGTGACTTGATTTGGAATGAATTTTCCTTGTTCATGGGACTAGCCCATAGTCTAAAAGGGCAAGATGGCTTCCCTTTTTCATTTTTACTTCACCTTACTAACAATGCTGTTACCTCATTTTTTTCATACCACAATGAAAAACCCTTAGACACAGCATAATTTGTTAACATATGTTTCAGTTCATCTCGATCAGAGAATTTCATACCGAACTCAGGCATCATAGTGTCCCATTTTTGGTTTGGATCGTGAATAGGATGTTTTTTTACCTTACCACCAGCTTCTTCCTCTGTGCCTCTTTGTGGAATAAGATTCTTCTGTGACAAAAAAGGATCAACAACTTCAGGCCATTGAATGTCCTCATCATCAGCTTCATGGTCCACCGATAGATCATCCGATGATACCAAGTCCACATCATCTTCATATGTTTGAGTACCACTATCCCATTCTTCAGCTTTTTCTTCTTCAATCCAATCTAGTAAGGGTTCATGATGGTCATCAATGTAGATACTTATTTGATTATCATCATCATCAAAACCATCATCAAGGAACCTAACATAATCATCTTCATACCTGAGCTCCCTTAACCCATCTACGAGGGACCGATTTTTAAGACAGTAATACATATCCCGACATCTATTGTTGATCAATTTTTGGAGATAGGTCTTGAACTTCTTGAAATCCATGTTACGTACATCTAGCCCCATAACAGGTACTTTATCAGGATGAAAAAAAAACCAAGGGATTAGGAGAAAAAACACCTTTATGGTAGACATCAATGTTGAGTGAGTCACGAGACACACTTGTTGCACGAGACATGCTGAGAACCCTTGCTGCACAATCGACTAACTTTCCTTCAGCTTCTGTAAAAATCAATTTCACTGTCACGAGTTCACCGTTCACTGTTATGTAAGAACCCTAGATATTGATTTCACCCTTCACTGAGAACCCTTGATGGTGAATCGATATCCTTGTGGCATTTATGTTTCATGTAATGTGTTTTAATAATCCATGTCAGATTATCACCGGTAAACAAAGAATCGTAACCCACAGATGCCGGTCACCATTAAAAAACCTTATTTTTATTGGTAACTTTATTTGGATTTATAATAAAAAAACATTATTTCATTGGCTTTTTGCGAACAACATAAACATAATTGGGGTAATATAGACGTTTTTGAAACTTAATTGGTCTTTTAAGTCATTTTCCCATTATTTATCAATATGATGGTTGCAATGCTTTGATATTTATTATTCAATTGTTATGATACTGTACATGAAAATCATCCAATCCCAGACGTTTTCACCGTTCTGGTTTGGGGGTGTGACAGATTGGTATCATAGAATTGTTTATATTGAAATAAGTATATCAAACCAGGAGATATACAACTATAAATACAATGGGGTTAAAACACTCGGAATAATAATTATATTTTTAAAACATAATAGTATTTTTATAAAAAGTATACATTTAGGCATACATACTAGACACGATGTCATAATAAGAACTATATAAAAAAGTATTTAAAGGAGTTAAACACTACGTTTAAGCCTAGACAGTTATGTAATCATATCTGGGATAAATATAGCCTGGTCAACTATATTTATATGAGAGATGACCAACCTATGTTTAGGACTAATCGTGGTGGACAACAAATCTAATACTTACCAACCCTATATACCCAGAAACTCTAGAACCGAACATAAAGCTTAAAATATAATAGGAATATTATCTTGCACCTAGATTCCTTATGTGTCTCCTATACCTCTATTCTTGCAAGGCCAAAACATGTAATTTATGTGTATATAGATGTAAATATAGACAGAGTACAACTAGCAATGACCATAGCTACTTACAAACTCGTGTCAAACCTTACAACAAAATCATGCTCCCATGCGGAAGTAGCCAGCATACCGGCACAACACTAGTTCTACAAATGGACCCTGCTACATTCTAAGTTACTGTAACAGCCGTCATGGTACAACTTAGCACTAACAATGCAAACAAAAATGGGAACAGTGCCATTATTTAAAATCCCTGTGACAACCAAGGACACCAGCGAGTGTGCTCCTACATGAACACCCCAAACTTCAAACCTATGAACTCTCACGATAATATAGGCATACTGTCCAGGAAACATAAGTTTTTGAACAAGAGAAGGGTTCGTTCGACTCATGAGCCTGTCAAAGGACAACAAACTGTGGCAGCCCATACCACGAATGGTAGTAAGCATCTATGACAAGCCTTGGAAACTTTAAGGGCAGATACACTATACGTGAAGTTCTCAAAATGAGAATTCTTGATTCTAAGGGTAGACTTCTTGGGACACGTAGTCAGTAAGGAAGGAATACATGTGGGCCCCTTCAAAGTCAAGGTGATTGAAAATTAGACAACACAAAGAACACCAACGGAGATACGCCAGTTTTTCGGCCTTACTGGCTACTACCAAAGATTAAAACAAAACTTCTCTAAGATTGCAAAGCCACTCACTACCATGACTAAGAATGGAGTGACATTCAACTGGGTATCAAACAGGAATCCGCTTTCCAAATGCTTAAGTAAGCCATGTTCAGTGCTCTAATCTTGCCCCTTCCAGAAGGGACCGAAGACTTTGTGGTCTACTGTGATGCTTCCAAGCAGGGCCTAGGATGTGTGCTTCTGCAAAGAGGAATGGTCATCGCCTAGCCTCGATACAACTCAAGACTCATGAGGTCAACTACACCACACAAGACCTAGAAGTAGGAGTAGTGGTATTCGACCTAAAAATTTGGAGGCACTAGCTGTACGGTACCAAATGCACCATCTTCATAGATCATAAGATCCTTCAAGACATCCTAAATAAAAAAGAGCTCAGCATGAGACAATAATGATGGGTTAAGCTGCTAAATGAATACGAATGTGAAATTTGTTGTTATCCGGGCAAGGCCAACATAGTACCAGATGCCTAAGTCGGAAAGAATACTCGGGCCACCGAGTAACATCATTGACCATGAACATCCATTCAAATCTGTCTACATAGATCAAGGAGGCGTAGCTAGAGTCCTTGAAACATGAGAACATCGCATGTGAGGCCTTACGAATAATGGATAAAAACCTTGAAGTTAAGGGCGACGAATCTTATTATCTCATGAATTAAATCTGAACACCGGAATTCGGTGGGTATAGAGATGTTGTGATGAATGAGGCCCACAAGAATAAAAATACTCCATTCATCCCAGTTTAGACAAGATGTATCTGGACTTCAAGAAACTTTATTGGTGTCCAAACACAAAGGCAGAGATCACTACCTATGTGGGCAAGCCTGACTTCTGCCAATGTTAAGGTAGAATATCAAAAGCCCTTAGGTTGGCTTCAGCAACCGGACATACCCAAGTGTAAGTGGGAGCGGATAACCATGAACTTCATAACCAAGTTACCCATGATAAAGGGTGGACTTGACACCATTTGGGTGATTGTTGACAGGTTAACCAAATCCGCTCACTTTCTACCAATAAAAGAGACCGACAAGATGGAGAAGCTGATGGGTTTTGAGCATTCTAACACTTCCTAAGTATACATGCAACCCTAATAACCTTGGATATATGTTTGTCTAAATACATGCAAAATTTAGTTTCCAAGGTTCCTAATCCTATCTAGAATAAATGGGGAACTTTAATCCTAAAAGTATGGCTAGAAATACATACCTTGTAGTTGATTTTGATTCGTTGAAACCTTGTGAGCCTAGCACCTCAAGTGTGATGCCTCAAATGCTTCACACAACACCAAATGCTTTTGGAATGACTTTTGAGAGAATACAAACACTCTAAAAATTGGCCTAGCCCTCACTTGTACTTCTGTGTAACGATTTTGGTTGAGAAGGTGTTGCTTATATTGTGTTGACACATCTATGGTTACACCACGTAAACCCTAATGTGTCATGACTCTTCATTTCCATGACCCATGGGTTTGTAACTCCTATGGAGCATCCTATGGGTTTAACCCAACTTGATAATCCATGGAGCCTTTTAGCCCACTATACAAGTTATGGATGATTTACATAATCAACCCATATATTTAATTAGTTATCTTTTGATCAGTTAACTAATTCAAAATTAATTCTTGATCAATACTAATTAAATAATAATATTAATATATTAGAACCTATAATATATAAATAAACCACAAGTGTTATTTCTCTCATTTAGTCTATCCAATTGCATGGTGCCATGCAACCCAAATGGACCATGCCAGGTCGGGTCGAGTACATACCAGAAATAGGTATGGACTTAGACACCTTATCCAACAACATTTTGGAGCTAGACAAGATAACTACTTTGTATTTATATAAATAATTTTAATAAACACATATAATCACCTATAATTGGTAATGTTTGGGAGTCACATACAATACACTATCATTTCGGAAGAAACATATAATTATTTAAAGGTATAATTATTTTTACACTATGTAACCACTACATAAGAGTAATACTCTCATTTACAAGAAAAACGATATTCCGTACGCTACACATAAAGCGATTGATATAAAATTGAGAGATATTTGGCTTCACCGTACGTACCAGAGTACACACTAAAGTCCTGAATTATAACCAGGGTCTTTCTTAAGGAGACCATGACACTTGTTTATAGATCTATGCAGGATTGACAAACCCGCACCGCAGCTGTTAGCTACAGTAGACCGGCTAGTCTAGGGTGACAAATGTCTTAATAGTTCTGACGCCCGAAGAACGTCATTCATGATACTAGTTGCGTTAGTATGGTTATAATAACTCACATGGAGTATTAACAAAACATTTGGTTTATGGGGCTAATGTACATCCAAGTAATTTCGTAGAAACATTTAACTATAATTTTCTAGCACGACGCTACTTACATTTTTAGTCTTGAGTTAAGACTTACAACTCATTGTTAAAGAAAATATTGGATTTTCTGAAAGCATACTTTATCATTTTACAAAGAAAGGCTACCGATTTCTCTCATATAAAATGCTTTTGAACTCACCAATTTAATTGTTGACAGTTTTCAAAATCACTTGTATTTTCAGGAAATCAGTAAACAGATTACCAAAGAGTTTTTGGAGGATGGGACGTCGTCACGTTACATTATTTATTTTTGGTCATATGTATATGGTATCAAGTAAACAATGTTTTGAGTACAATGTAAACATATTATTTAGCAATATGATGGTTGTAGTGCTTTGCTCTCTATTATTTAATTGTTATGATATTGTAGATGAAAGTCATCCACCCCGAGACATTTCCGTCGTTCTAGTTTGGGGTGTGACACATATCTCACTTAAATTTGAATGTGTCAAACACACTTCAATTAAGAGAGAGAGAGAGAGAGAGAGAGAGAGAGAGGGGGGGGGGATAGAGGGAAGGAGAGAGAACTATGAACAACTAATATTCCAAATTTGAATGTACAAAACACAATTCAATTAAAAAATAGAGAAAGAGAAAGTACAATGAACAACTAATATTCTCTCATTTACCATCTGAAGCAAGCCTACAATCTCAACTCATTCGTATGTGTCAGTCTCAACTCACTCAAAGTTTACACATGCACGAAATATAGTAAGATATTGCAAGGGTACTCTCTAAATCCTATGTTTGGTCACATTATACCAAAAGATCATAAAAACCTAAATAATGACTCACTCAATTAATGCATTCAACGATAACCATCACCCTCAAATCATTCCTCTCG